GATAACCGACGTATATTTTTAATTATTAAAAATTCATTAAGTAAATAAATTTGCTGAGGTTCATCTTCGTAAGCCTCCACACTCAGTCATTTTTCTGAAAATTTTAGAACATGAGTGAACTTTCGATTAACGCATCTGCTCATGGAAGCTTACGTTGTTCCAATTCTTCGTTTTCTTCAAAATTCTGCTTCACCCTTTCTGGATTCAGGTCGAAAGACGTGAAATTATCGAAGTTTCTTCATCGTTTCAACTCAATCAAAGACGTGAAATCTTCTATTTTATTTGAGATCGAGAATTTGGTATGTATATACTTTACAGAATTGTTGTATTTCTGATTGAATAGGTTGATTTTGACACGAATTACAGATTTAACTTAGTGATTCGTTTGATTTGTGAATAATTTTTGTTGTTAGGGTTTCCGGTGGTGAATCTTTTTTTTTTTTTTGAGGAACAGTGAATTGAGTTTTAGGTTAGTTATTGATGAAATTTTAGTTTGTTTCGGTCGATTTGTACTTTTATCGATCTGAATTTTGGAGGTCGCATCGCATGTAATCTTTCTTCAATGATTTGCGAGTTACTAAGGTTTTTTTGTTTTGGTTTGATGAACTTACATAGAAGAGAATTCGGTAACTAAACTTTAGAATTCTACAAGGATTTGAATGATGTAGAGGATAATTTACGTCCCTCAAAGAAATTAAGTTTTGCTTCTTCCTTCTTTCTATGTCCATGTTGCAATAGGATTAACCTAAGCTTTGCATAAGATTTGAAGAATCAACATAGATTTCAGAGCGAATAAGGTACTAATTATGAGTTTTTATAACAGAGTGGATGATGCCAATAGCTTCTAAATATGAGGATGTGAAGAACATTGGATAGGAACAGTGGATCAAATCTATGGAGAGCTTGTTATTTCATCTTTGCTGAGATCGGATCAAAGTTAATCCTATAACAAACCAGAATACATAAGGTGAGTTGTCTTCTTTTAAGTAGAAGAGTTGTTCATTGAGGGCTTAATATAGCTTGGAATCTTCTTGTGCCTCATATATGGAATATAATTATTATGACTTTGTGGAGCTCTATCTTCAAATGCAAATATGGGTTGGTGTTACTATGATACTTGTTTGTGTCAGCTTTCTCTTCGCATTGATAGAAAGTCAAGTGAACAACAATATTTTAAAGCAGAGCATCAAGTAATATTCGGGAGTGAAGCATTTGCACAAGTTTTTGTTTCTTGAAAATAATTGTGTGTTTAATTTTGTGATTTGTGATATTCTGTTATTCAAAAGTTAAATTACTATGTACCTTTTTTTTTTATCTCGAGTTAACAGTGAGTTAGCCTTTGAAGAGTTATATGCAGATTGTGTGAATCGTTGTGCCTATGATATTTTTGTTGTTTATGTGTAAAAACCTTTTTTTATTTTGAGTGGAATGATATATTTATGGAATCAGCTCTTTAAATTTTTAGTTTAATCACATTTTAATGATTTTTATCACATTAAATAAATAACAAATAATAAATGAGAAAAATGTTGCAAACATGCGATTACAGTTTTATGATTACAATATTGTGTCCTAAATCCAACATACAACACCAACAATAAATTCTTAAGACGACTTTTATAAGTCTTGGATTTGTTTTATGATTACAGTTTTGTTTACCTCGCCTCCTTTGATTTTGATGTTCTTGATGCGAACTGACATGAAGATAGATAATTCCATCATGCATATCCACTATCTTATTAGCTAAAGGATGGCTTTAGAAGAAAATATAAGATTCTTACCCTGAGATTCACCTTACCAAATTCATTCAAGATTTGGTCTGATGGCTTCCTGAACTTCTACAGCGAAGTCCATCAAGAAGAACGATTTGACAATGGAAGAGATACAAGTATGATTACGGGCGCACGTCTTCAAACCAATAAATCAGCCTCTATAACTTACGGATCTCGGCAACATATCTCTTTGAAAGTTGATGCATAATCTGTTTCCTGAAAGACCTTCTCATTCATATCACAAAAGCAAAATGGTGGACGTATATATCAATTTGAGTAAGTATGCTAATTTTTATCAAGAAGATAATAACCGTGCAATTAGAGAATACTTCTGAATCTTGTCAACAATGGGACTATGATTGGTTTCCCACCTTTTCATCAGATCATTTGCAGTCTACAAGGCCCAAATGCGTTGCCAAAGTTTAATCGAACAATCCTAGTATTTTAGGATATCTAATGATTCATGCCCATTTAATCAGTTTCTAAGTAATCCAAAGTTTAAACACAATTTTGTATACCAATATACTAAAAATTTGGGACTATAAAGATAATTATACGTTTTCCACCAAAAAAAAAGAAGATAATTATACGAACCAAATTTTCAAATATACTGAAATTCACTTTCACAACTAAAACTTGGTACATCATACATGTATCACCAAAACACATGTGCAAAGCCAGTCATACCCAAATGTTATTGATTTTATGTGACCAGCTTTTTTCAAAGACTCAAAGTCAAGTCTAACAATTATACGGCCAAATATCAAGCTCCACGAGAATTTTTATCTAAAACTACCATAATTGAAATAATAACCGACTCGAATTGTTAGATAGAAGTATAGAACATTAACCATTTCAAATTGTCGAATGACGACTACTTCCTCTATTATTGTTAACGAAGGTTGCTAACAAGCCTAACATTCAGATAGCACATTAACCATCTACAATAAATTAAAAAACGTTAAAACTAAATTAACCTTTGAGAATGAAGAAAACAAAACAAAGAGAAGAATTTAACTGTATTTTATAAGCTTTAAACTTATTACATGCCAAGTTTAATGGTTATATTAGCAAATGTCAAAACTCCACAAGAATTTCCTCCCGGACCACCATAATTAAAAAAAAACCCGAGTTTATCACTAAACAAATACGGATTTTTGCCAATTCTTAGTCCATAACATCTAGGACTATCACTACAAGAAAATAGCCACTTTCCCGACGGAAATTCCGACGGCCGAGATTTCCGTCGGAATTTTCCGACGATTTACCGACGCAATTGCGACCAAAATTAATCCGTCGGWAWTCCGTCGG